GACGTCCGTTATTGGCTTAAACAATCTAGCAATTTTATTTCTATCACGTTGTGCTAGAAAGCTTGCTGACAAATTAGACCTCGCACTGTAGTACATAGCAGCACGTCGCTGCACCTCAAGATCTACCGGAAGTACGCCCGCGAGCACAGGTAGGGCTTTAGTGCCAACCGTCCTATAAGCCTTACACAGGAAAATCAAGGCTAGACGCTGGCCTTGAAGAAGTTTTCGCCGTACCGCGCCTATTGTGGCCCTATCAGCCCAGACAGGTGCCCCGTAGCACACGCATCCCAGGTAGGTTGCTTCGCATATGATCCTGACTGACTGATCCGTCGTGTAAGTAAGGTTACCGTAGGTCAAATTACCCCCTCTCACCCTTCTCCAATCCCTGAATCCCCAACAAACCTCAAATTCCTAATCTCAAAAGGCCGGTAACACTTTCGCAACGCCTCTGGTGTTTTAGGTGTCCATGGGCGACGCCGATTGATTACCATCAAGTGATCCATCTGCTCGCAACTCGCTGCAACCAATTAATACCAACTCAGTCGTCAAAGAATACTCAGTCGACGACCGCCACCGATACGAGCCGACGGCAGCAATTCTCCGTTGGCAACTTGCCGCTCGTGTATAAAAGCTCTTATCTTAGTTATCTAGATATTTCAGTATTTCAATTCGTTTCAGCTGTTGAATTGGGATATGTTTGAGAAATGAGATGGATTACTTACCTACGTACTGTGATGGAATTGAAATCGAATTACGAAGACTGCTAGCGTTGGGCTTAAGTTAGATATTGTTTTGTTTTCTGTTATTCTTTTTTGAAGAAGATAAATACTGGATACTGTTTTTTTTCAATATCATAACGTTACGCATGTTGCTATGCCCTTACAAACTTGCATTATGTTTTTCGGCTGTTATGTTAGCTGTTATGAAATGGGTGAAAACAAATTATTACAAAAAAAACAAATAGTGCGGTGTCTAGCTAACATGTGGCGGATTTTATTCCCGCACGGAGCAACTCTTTGTGTGATCCACAAATTATGGTTTCAGGTCTAGGTTTAATATGCATGTGAACTTGTATGTTTGTAAACGCACCCACGAGACAGGAGAAAATCCTAGTGAGGGGCAACGCTTTTAAAAAAAGAAGAGAAAAATTAATGCCGTCTGTGTTTGAAAAAAAAATCAACAGTTCCCATTGCGTCTCAGTAACAGTCACATCTATTATAATTGTAATTCAAACTGAATTGCATAGTTCTCTTGTCTAAACACGTTGTATACAGAGTAGATAATTTCTAAAGATGTAATAATGTATTATAATCCTGCTATTAGCAGTAACATTGTCCCGAGCAGTGATTGTCGTGTGCCGAGCTCGCATCTATCAATGCCAGGTCTCACACGCGACACGAATTATGCGTTCACTTTGTATAAACAGAAATGTTAGTAGATGAAAAATATGGCGGTAATGTAGATATATTTATAGGCTTTGAAGGGACAATTATTGAGTGGTGTCTGACTTTATTGAGAAATGTAGAGTCATGGCTTGTGATAGTGAAGTAAATAGCATTTAGTTTTGAATTGAAATTTATATAATTATGTTTTAACAGATTTATGGTTTCATTTTAGTTTTAATTATGGCTTAAGTCAGAGTCTAGTGATAAAATGGATTTTTGTATGGGATAAGCCGGACCAGACAAATCACTTGATAGTAAACAATCGGCGTCGTCCATGGGCACCCGGAACACTAGAGGCGTTACAAGTGCGTTACCGGCATTTAGGGATTAGGAATTTTAGGATTGTTACATTTTAGGAATTGGGGAGATTAGGGAGGGGGAATAATTGGGTCTCTGTCCGGTCACTCATACGAGGAAATACATCGCAAGCGTTGTTTCACGTCGATTTTCTGTAAGGCCGTGGTACAACTCCGGTCAAATGATAACGAAAAGTGATAAATTAAAGGAACTACATAGATAAATTTACTACCATGTTGTTTCACGCTATAAATGAAACTAAATAAAAAATAACACAACACCACCTACACAAAACAAGACATTAAAGAAACTTTTACCTAAATTTCACCTGGATATAATCGAATTTCCACTCAATCAATTCATAATAGCATTAATTCTTACACAAATTAATTCTTAGAGGCTCTAATCGACGCTGTGGCGAAATTAAGTTACGTTGCCGCCTACCGAAGTTAGCGAGGCTTTCCTCCAAAATTTCATTATACCCAAATTTGTTTAAACACCCACTATACATTGGGAAATCAATGAAAGATTTATATCATTCGAGGAATACAATTTTCGGTTTTGTCTTATTTTTAGCGTCATTAGCGCATGAAGGTAACTTGACGTGGCTTTTTTAAAAAAATATATTTTTATAGCATAGTAGCAAACCCTGCAAACTCTGTTTCTCCACCAGATGGCTATTTAAGAATTTTTTTTGCTATAAACCTCACGGAGCCAGAGACCTTTCCAACGAATGCAAAACTGTGGAAATCGGTTCGTGCGTTCTGGAGTTATAGCGTCAGGACGGAAAATCCGATTTATTTTTATAATTTTTATATAATAGATGACAACAAATAAGTAGATAGATCACCTGATGGTAAGCAATTAGCGCCGCCCTGGACACTCGCAACATCAGAGAAATCACAAATACTTACGTTACTAGATTTGGGATTGGGCGCTGGAAATTGGAATATGAGGTTAAGAATTCGAGGTAAGAAAATGAGAATTGGGGATGAGAGCAACCTTGGACCTACAGTAAGCACATTATTACTAATTTGTCTTGTCTCATTTTTGAAGTCATTACCACATGAAGGTTATTTCATGGACATGACATGGTTACTTGTCATCTGTGCCGTATTTTTACATTCTCAAAATAATTTATTCCATTGTCATTATTGACTTTGCAAAGTAACTTATTGATGCCACGTTTTAGTCAGTCTGCATGCAAAAATAGCTTAACCAATTTTGATACGGTTTTAGAGTGATTAACGAGAAAGGTGTCACTGAACTTGAGGTTTTAGAAGTAAGACTACATACACCTTTAAAATATTTTTTTAAGATCATTTTAAATTACTGGCGTAGCCTTTAATACATCAATATAAAACCTATAACAAGAATAAATATAATACTGTTATTTTCAGCGCTACGAAGGAGGATTTCAGGGCATTTTTCAAGCGTAACTTTCAGTGTTTATCGTCTATACGTAAACTAATTAGCGTCGTAAGGATCGTGTCATAGCATTAACGCTTACTAGATTTTATTGAAAGCGTCTTGTATAATTTTATTACTATACCGTTTTAAGCAAACATGAGATAGAAAGTCGTACTTTTTTATAAGAGGGGAAAATCATCGAATAGCTCTCTCCTATCCGGGTGAGACGAGAGGGAGTGTCAAATTTTTACTGACTACGAACCACCCTGTTCCTACTCCTGCACTTCGAGCCGAAACCTTTTATGTTCTCCCTGGCTCCTTATCTGCATCAGCCTTATTGAGCCCTATCCGTAGTGGTCTGATGGCTCTTTGAGGCGCACGCGGGACGCGACGCGCCGTATGCTTAGGAGAAAATCGTAACTGCATGATCGATGTTTATTTTTCGTTAGTTACGCAGTTTTATTGAGAGTGTGATTTTTTTATAATATTATCAATATAATATTTTTATAAGATGTTTTTAATAATTTTATTTATATTATAAAAAAATCGGATCTTTTATAACTATCACTCTTCTGGTTATTTTATGATAAATTAATTAACTTAAATTTAAATTTGTGATTATACTTAAATACTACTCGTTTTTTTCACAACCGGTTCAGCCATATGAGAGATATAAATGGCGATAACGAACATACTCCATTTAAGAGATATAAACGTCGCTAACGAACATACAAATTGATTTAAAAATATCAATTACATAAATGATAGCTGTCGTACATAGTAATATTACCTACATTAAAACAGTCCACTTCTGAAACTGAAACTATCAAATAATGATCATCACGAGTGAATTTCAATCAGCACAACACTCCGGTATATGTAACTTTAATTAATTTTCAATTATTCACTATTTTCGGATGACTGTGTTTAATGGCTTTACATCAGTGATCATTTCAATGCTGAATTTATGAATAATTTTGTAACGAATTTGTTTTGTCCTTCATCTGAACTAATAACAAAGATGGAGATAATATGACATAATGATTACTGTGTTTTTATAATAACTATTGTAAGACACACTAAATTTACTAAAATCGTGGGTTACTCACGTAAATATACAGAGTGAGCGGCGCGACATCGCCGCGACCGCGCACGCTGCTCATGAGTAAGAACCCCTCTGTGGTTCGAAACTAGTAGAGCTTTTCTCAGTATATTCACATGACTAACCCGTTATTTTAGTTAATAATAATTACTCGTCTTTTATTCTGCAATAGGGTGAGAAATTAATTGTAACGCCTACCTATGAGTTACATGTAATAGAAGCCATTGCCATATCCGAACCACGATTTTAAACTCACATTACATCACGCCTTTTATCTCCGAAGAGGTATAAATTACGGCACTTAATGCCACTGTATAATATAACACCCACTTTTCGCTATTTATGTTATGAATCTCATGTAATAGTGGGTTAGTCTTTTGCCATATATGGGGCACGATTCCAAACTCCGTGCTATTAGTACGATTTTTATTAAAAACCGAGTAATTTTTTGCCCGACGCAGGAATCGACCCCTTGCCCGACTTGGCAAGGATGGTAGGTAGATGATAGGTCTTTAAACTGTCAAACACCAAGCGGTCACCGGTGACCGCAACCTATTGTTCTTTAATTGTGTCTATAAAACCGGTACTCGACGAGTTAAGCTGTCCTATTATTGAGTATCGTTCAGAAAATCTAAAAACTTTAATAACACTTAATTTGACTCTGGAATCTAATCCAAAATCCGTTGTTAGGCTGTTACAGCTAGGGTCACACAATAAAAAAGGAAGAAGTAGATAAAATATCTTACCTCGAAGCAACGTAAGAATTCCAAGCGGCATCACCAAAATCGCAACCAATAAATCAGTAATAGCCAGCGACATGAGGAAATAATTGGTCACATTCTGCAATCTCCTCTCTAAATATATAGCCAGACATACTAGAACATTCCCAGCCGCAGTACAGACTACTAACATAATAGCTATCAGAGCCCACCAGTTGTTTACCGCCTTATCTTTATCGATTCCACCAGTCACATTTCCAGTATCATTAGCGAAAACATCAAAGATATCTTCCAATGTATAATTGACTTCCTCAATCTTCTCATTCAATTCCAGAATATTCTTTGATAAAAATCTATGGCTGGGTTCATGCATTGTGTCTTGACTTTAGTACCAGTCTCATCTTCGACGGTACATTCATCTTATTTCGTAAATGTGGATGGTTTCAGGATACATTTTCTTCTTATTTTTATTGTTCCTCGTTAATTTTGTTCAGCATCTGTAAAAGAATAATGTGTTTCAATGGTTTGGTTTGGTTTTCGTGGACGCTTTCTTTGTGTAGTTTTTTTTATCTTAATTTGACGTTTATTGATAATAATTCTTCTAGTTTTTTTTTCAGGTTAAATAATATTAAGCTTCTAAATTTAAATGACTAAAATTATGTGACGTATTAACTCTTCTAGGAACACAGTGTTTAAATGGTTGGATGAGAAAAATATCATGAGTTCAATTCACACATGAAATCAATTTCATTATTGACTAGTCATAATGCCTAAGCGTAACTAAGTAGCTAGCTGACAAATTCACACGTCCTTTCTATGTGTGTTTCTATTGTAACCTTCGTAAGACATATTAAATTAATTATTGTGTTTTTGACTTACTCACGTAACTGTTTGACGAGGAACTCGACTAGTTTCAAGCCATACTAGAGGCTCATATTCATGAACAGCATTCCGCGACGCGGTGACTATCGCGCTGCTACTATTTAGTACTACTATTTAATAGCAGTACGACAGTCGGTATGTCGTGCGTCGCAAAATTTTGCTCATGAATATGTCTAGCCTCTAGCATGGCTTGAAACTAGTCGAGTTCCTCGTCAAACAGTTACGTCCTTTCTAGATTAAAAACGTTTATTAACAGACATATTTTTTTATTTCCTACAGTACCCATACCTATAATAAAAAGCCGACACTTCTCATATAATAATATACCAACGTATACCTAAATAACTGGTTCAATGTGACATTCAGAGTTATTTCAGATATAAACCCGAAGTTAATGAAACTCATAATAAAATACAATATTACCTTCCAAGGGTTATTGCCTCCATGATTCAGGTAGATGTTCCAATATCTTTGGAGATAAAGAATAAAACAAATAGACCCTTCTGACCCTTTTAGATCGAGCGATTACGTCACAATTTATGTGCATAGCCAAGCCCTATTTGTAGATATTTCACGGATATTAGGCACATGATTGGTTGAAAAATCCTTCTTACGTATTTACCCAATTTTGTGATATATGTATTAAGATTTTTAAAGTTGGGTTTTCATCAGTCATCACTACATAGTATTAAACAAAGTCGCTATCCGCCGTCTGTCTGTCCCTATGTATGCTTAAACCTTTAAAACTACGGAACGGTAATGAAAAAATATTAGACACGTAATTTTTTATTTTGTTGTACTATAATAAAATGATACTTAGATATAACGAATCAAAGTTTAAGAGTGGGGGCTAAAACGTTATTTCTACGTATAAAATGTATATAGAAGTGACGTCACGCGACATTTCAAATATATCGTCGAAAGCATAAATTCGTTTCTGTAAAAAATAAAAAATACCTGTTTAATGTTTTAAAATAATCTACAAGACGGACATTAAAATAAAAAATTAGTCATCTACCATATTTCTTCTCCGTGTGAGAAGAGGCCTTTGATCTGCAATGCCTACTTATAGGTTGTTGATTATGGTGATGATGAATAATTCATAAGTAACCTACAATTTTCGTCCATCTCTAAATTGGTTTCAATACCGTTCAGCAACATTTAAAGCCAAACAAACGAAGTAGTAATTTAAAATAAATAATTTAGTCACAGCCAAAGCTGAACCCAAAAACCGAAGTAAATTGTTTGTTCCTAAACGTCTTAAGGAATTCCCTTTTATAACTTAAACTTAAATTATTTATAGGCATTTTAAACTAAGCCGGTAAAAGGGGCGAAGTGGTTCGAAATCTTTTGGTTAACGAGGGGTCGAGACAACTTTGAACTGTCTGTCAATGTATTAAACTTGTAATTATAACGTAATGTTCTCATTGTTGGAATGGAAACCAGGAAGGATGCGGCTTTGGAGATATTTGGAAGCAAAAAGTTAGGAGTGGGTATGGTTGGAGTTCCGTAATTATTTGTTGGAGTTGTATTTATAATCATGTCAATTTAGAATTGTGTAAAGACCTAGAAAATGCACTGATGCCATTTTAATCTCAATTTTCACTGGCTAATAAAATTGATCCAATATTTCAATATAATAATGCAATATGCAAATGACTGCCTCGTTGGCCGAGTGGTCGCAAGTGCGACTGCCGGGCAAGGGGTCTCGTGTTCGATTCCCGGGTAGGGCAAACTATTACTGGATTTTTGAAATTCAGTAGTAGCACACAATGTCAGACTCCGTGTCTGACATTGTGTCCGGTATATGGCACACCCGCTATTACGTGGGACTTATAACATAAATAAATAAAAGTGGATGTTACATTGTACAGTGGCACAATGTGCATCTCTGCCTACCCCTTCGGGGATAAAAGGCGTGATGTTATGTACTTATGTTATGTAATAATGCAATAACGTGCACAGCGCGACGACATTGCGCACTACGTAGTCTAATACTTTTAATTAATTTAGTACTTTGATTTTAGTACATAAAAACTTGAGACTGTATCTGTACTTTAATTCACACTATTTTTTCATATCAGAGTATGATATACGTATATCGAGATCGAAACGAGACCGCGACTGGCGTTCTGATTGGTTGGTTTATTGTAACAGTAAGTTCTTAAACGAAAAATTGTCTAGTGACTACACTAACTCAATGTATAACTAAAATAACTATACAAAAATGCTCAGTGCCTACAAATAAAAACTTTGACATGTTTAAAAGCTTTTTATAACGATCTCTGCTCTTTATACTTAAGTTATTTAACTTAGTAAGTTACTAGTAGTTCAAGGTCTTAGTAAAACAAACGTTTGTGAATAATTTCATATTTGCAGCTTATCGATTCGAAGCATCGAGTAACTATGGAGGCACTTAAACGTAGCGGAAGGAAGGTCAAATGATTTACACTTTGAATATTATTTTTGCAATAAGTAAGAGCAATGGTTCTGCGCGAATGGGCCGGCTCGACCAGAGTTAGTGAGTGAGTGACTGACTATAATCAAACAGAAAACCGACGTGAAACAACGCTTGCATTATGTTTCGTGTGAGTTGGAGACCCAATTACCCTTCCCCCCATCCCTGCCCAATCTCGCTAATCCCTGAATCCCCAACAATCCTTAAATTCTAATCCCAAAACGACGATAACGCACTTGCAACGCCTCTGGTGTTCCGAATGTCCATGGGCGACGCCGAGTGACGCGGATTGCTTACCATCAAGTGATCTGTCTGCTCATTTACCGGCTTATCCCATAAAAAAGTTATTTTATAAGTTTAAATATTTTCGGTAAAAAGTTTGATAAAATAATTACAATATTTATTCTACTTAAAGAATGCATATTCAATGCATTTTTCTTCTTTTTTAATGTTCCTAAGATACCTACTTAAAACAGTAGGTAACGAGTACATTTCTATTTTTTCCATACAGCCGCACAAATGTATGTACTGCTACAAGTCACTACACGAAACCGCACCCACGAGTCGCAACGCGTACAGATTTATCACTGCCATTAGACAAAGATTCAAAAAAATTAAATCTCTGTCTTCGCGCATACATTTTGCAACGAAAAAAGTGCTTTAACAAGAAAAAATTAAGGTCTTTTATCGTACCACGTTTGCAATCTCGGATAACAAGGACCAACGGAAAAAGGAGCCGTAAATTTTCCGAGTCTCGGGCAAAACCGCAAGACGTATTTAGTAAAAGGTGCGGTTTCCTTTTATTAGATTATCTCGGACTTTTTACTTTACGTGGCACCCCTTATCAAAAGGTTGAATCATGACGAGTTTGCAGCTAATTAGAATTTGAAAAAGGTAATTCGCATTTTTCATCTGACTTCACGTTTTTAATTTGTGAGAATCGTAAGTATTTATTTTGATTATAATTTAGAATGGTTTTCAGCCTCGTTGGATAAGGCCTGCCTCTATTTTTTTATTTTAAATCTGAATTATAGCACAGTCAATTCAGTGTTTATAGTCCCATTGAGACTAATAAACCACAAAATTGGATTAATAAACTGTGGAAAATGGGATGTACTGTACTCCCTACCCTACCTTTTTTGGTTTATTTTTATACTTTATAGGTCGACGTTTGGCCACCATCACGCCTGATGGTAAGCGATGATGTGGCCAACGATGGAGCACGCCTACCTACGAGCAACCTGTTCACTCGGGACTTGAAGACACCCAAGTCATATTTGACGGGAAAAAACCAAAAAAAAAACAACAAGAACGTTATTTTTTATTTCTGTAGCTATTAAGCGTTTATTAGTACTATAACGAATAAAATAATTGTCTAAAAATATGAAGCGGTAAATGTGGAGGCGGGCGGAGTAAGACATTTGATAAATTGACTTGACCAACCTCTAATAAAAATTGCTCAATTGGGTGATTGCCCAATTTGGACGATGAATTATTTTTTTCACGCAACATTTAACGTTCGACATACAACTTTTGCATTGAAACGATATTTAGTTTTATTGCCTAATACGAAATGTGAAATGAATGAAAATTGTAGACATTCCACTATCAATGTTTCATCATCATCATCATCATCAACAGCCTATAAATGCCCACTGCTGAGCAAAGCCTCTTCTCACTCGGAGAAGGTTAGAGCATTAATCACCACGCTTGCTCAATGCGGGTTGGCGATTTCAAACTTATAATTAGAAATTATAAGTCCAGGTTTCCTCACGATGTTTTTCCTTCACCGTTTGTCAGTGGTGTCTAAATAATCTTAGAAAGTACATATAACTCGGAAAAAGTCACATTGGTACTTGTCGTTGGTAGGTTACGAACCCGCACCCTCATGCATGAGAAGTGGGCGTCTTAAACCTCCGGGCCACCACGACACTGTTTGTTTATACTGAATGTTTATTTTTGTTTAAAATTTTGCCTCACACTACAGATTTATAAGAAGAATATACGATTTACACTAAGGCCCTGTAAAGTAATTTATTGTCCAATCCAACTTGTATATCGGGCCTGTTTATTTTGTAAGTAATCGTGTCTACACTGCCCGTACAAGATTTTACCTTAGTCTAGATTGCTTAGGTACGTCTGATCTGTTTTATCAAGGCAGGCCG